GTCTATGACTACAATCCACCTCTTCAAGGCATCTGAGAGTACAGGTTGTGTCTTGATCTAGCTCAAGGTCTCATGGTCAGATCTCACGTAGAAGAATCTGCCTACGAGGTAGTGCCTCTAATGTACCAGCACTCTATAGAGGGCATAGAGCTCTTGCTCGTATGTGGACTTATCTATTTTTTTAGATGGCATCTTTTTGCTCATGTACTCGATGGGCCTCAACTTTTTCCCCTCCTTCTGCGCAAGGACCGCGCCTATACCATATTGGCTAGAGTCTGTGGTCACAACAAAGGGCTGCTCAGGATCTGGAAGTTAGTGTGTCAGGGCATACTTCAATTTTGTGAAGGCAACCTCACACTCTTAGGTCCACTCCCAAAGGGTGTCAAGGCGGGTTAGGTCGGTTAATGGGGAAGCTACAAGACTACTGTTTTTCACAAATGGACAATAGTAGCCCGTCATCCCCAAAAATGACCGGACCTATGTAACAGTCAAAGGTCCGGGCCCGTCATGTGTGCTTGGCACTTTGGCATCATCTGGCCTCAAACCGTCCGCGGAAATCTCATGACCGAGGTACAAGATCTTCGTGCGACCAAACTCGCATTTCTCCAAGTTAACCTTGTACCAGTGTTGTCTTAGGACACCTACCATAGTTTTCACATGCTCAACGTGATCCTCTACGATCCTACTAAAGATAAGGATATTATCTAAGTAGTCATGAAAAATCCGGTTCATTGCGTGCTAAAATGTCCCAGGAGTGTTGCATAGACCAAAGGGCATCACCACAAACTCGTACAGACCGTACGTGGTCTGGAATGTGGTTTTGTGCTAGTCCTCGAGTCTAATGGCAATGTGATTGCATTCGAACTTCAGATCTATCTTTGTGAACTACCGGCATCCTTGCACTTTACCCAAGAGGTCGTCAATGTGGGGTAGGGGCTCCACGTTCTTTACAGTGATGGCATTGAGGCCCCTATAGCCAATGCACATCCTTGAGGTACCTCCCTTCTCATGAACCAATAGGACTGGTGCACCATAAGAGGAGGTACTAGGCCGAATCCATCCCTTCTCTATGAGCTCTTTGAGCTGGCAGCGAAGCTCATCCAACCCTGCAGGAGACATCCTATAGATTTGTCCTCTAGGTACCTTGCTACCGGGGACGACTTTTAGCGCATGGACAACCTCTCTTTCTACCATGCCAGTGGGCTCCTAAAAGAGGTCTAGATATTGAGCAACGACTGCTTCTATCTCAGAGGGTGATTTTACAGCCTCCCCTTTCTAAGAGACAAAGACTAGGTACATGCCCTCCGCGGGATTTTGCTTATAACAATTATAAAAAGAAGATGCACACATGCAGCCATAGTTTTCCACTAGATTTCTAGCCTTAAACTTCTACAATGTAACGGTTCTTCCATTAGGCAACTTGTGGATCATCACCTTCCTATCCCAATCAAATTGAGGTTGAGCAACCTCGAGGTAGTAAATGCCTAGCAACATATCAGATGGCATCTCGTCACTAACAAGGAACGAGATCTTGTGTCTCAGTTTCCCTCCTTCGTAGGAGAAGGTAGAGGCTACATCCTTGACATAGTCTTGGACAATCATACTATGCTTGTTGGCTAGCGTAGATGTTACAGATCTGCATCAATCTCTAGAACGAAATGTGCACCCCTAGGACCTTTGTCGATCGTCGCCCAAGAGTCTCTGAGGTCCTTTCCTGACCACTTTGTTTGTAACTCTTCTAAGGATTTAGGCACATCTCTCGAACAGAGCATCGATGGGTCTATATGTGTGTGCGGGGCGATAACTGGGTCAATAACCTTGGCCAACGCCTGAGGTGGTGAAGGCAACGTTACCACTTCAACACGGGTAAGAGCAGCTAAAACTCCTACTGCCCCGAGGTGTTTCCCTGCAAAGTGCTCGCAGAGCCATTACCTGAGTTCGAAGATAGACCTACCACAGTCGAAGAAGTTACCTTCGTTGTAACTTTCTTACCTCAGCGAGTCTTGGACTTATGACCGTAATTGTCACAGTTCAGACAAGCGCCCCTAGTAACTCGGTCCCTCCACACCTCGTAATCTAAACCAAGTTATACCAATGCGGGTGTCCCTTGGTCGCCTTGACCCTTGGACCGGCCTACCTTCTGCTTCCCGGTCCCTCTAGCATTTCCTTTGATTGGATCTACGACTCTCCCATTGGAAGTCTCGCTAGCCCCATCCTGCTGTGTGTCTTCCCCATAGTCAGGGAAGTTGCCAATCTCAGTTGCCTGACCATCATGGTCGACGAATATGAGATTGCCATTTTTCGTCCAATCTTGGAGAAAATTTTTCTTCCTACCATATCTTGCTCCCTGATGAGCGGTCCCAAGTTTAGCCTCTATATCTAAGGCTTTCTTGCAGAACGTAGCGAAGTTATGGACATCTATGTTGACTTCGTCCACTAGCTTGTTCTTGACGTCTGGGGGTAGACATGGCAGATAAGCTGAGGAGTACCTGAGGTTTGTAGCATATGATTAAATGTTCTACGACGTCTGTGACTTCTCGCACTGACCGGTACCGTTTGGAACCGAGACTGTCCAATGCGTCAGTGGACTTTTGAGCCCCTTGAGGGTCATGCCACCTATTGTACACAGTTCGTATAAAGTCCTCCAATGTCTGAGCCTGGGCCCAAACATCGGAATTTTGACCATAGCCCTGTTGTTGAACTAGACCATTCATTATCGTGCTGCGGAACCCTCTAGAAAGGAGGCAATGATTAAAACTTCCTGTTTTGGGCTTGTGAGTTTGTGCTTCACATAGGTAGGCACAGTTCTCACCTAGGTGTCCTGGTGGTTATCCTTTCTCTTGTCGCCAGAAAAAGGTTTAGGACTCAACAAGGGATTGAGCATCCACTACATGCGTTGGATTGGCCCAGGTGATTGCTGCAGTGGCTGCATAGCCACTGAGACAGGTTGCTGCATGCTAACCAGAGCCTATCCAGACGATGGGACTGTAGCTGCCATCGTCATTGATGGTAAGGGAGAAGTGCTACGAACCGGACCACTAACTACTGCTAAACCACCTGAAAGAGGCATGCCAAACATAGGAGAAAAAGAGGGCCCTACCGGCGACGACGTCACTGAGGGACCCGCAGCCGAAAGGGGAGCTACAAAATATTGAGGCTGCCTCATCATTGGACGAGGAGCCTGCAGTGCAGCCAGAATTCAGTTTTGGCCAGCCACTAGTTCAGCGAGCACTTCCTGCTGGACAACCTGCGTTTCTGCCACGCAAAGAAGCGAGCGACGCAGCGCCTGAAAGTGTTGACTCGTCCATGGCGTCTTATCTTCCTAACTCCTGCCTCTTAGTTCCTAGTCTAGCTTTCCTCAGTATTGCTTTCTCTCTTCTCGCTGCTGCTTCTCTCAACAGCTGTTGCAACTCATCATGAAGGGTTTCCACTTGGAGGATCTCATAATCCTCTGGCGTGAGAGGAGACTGTTGGCTGACTTGCGAGCCAGCATAAGGACTAACGGGACCCTAAGAGCCACCCTAACTAACACCTGGCGAAGAGGCCTGGGACAACGCCTGTGACATAAAGACGGTAGCCATTACGACCTCGACGCTGGCTGCTGCTGCCCTAGACCTCCATAATGCCACCCTCTCCCTGGCTTCCCTCCGCAATCTCCTTTCTTCTCCTCGACCTAACTCCTGGAAAATGATCAGTCGACTGAGAGCAGTTCTGCGGGTCACTCTTAGATCTTCCGCTAATCGTTCCTCCTCCTCAGTATTTGTTGCTTCACTCATGAGCTACAGTGGTGTGTGATCTAAACTAGAATCCACATTGAATCCTACCTCATCATGACACCGAACCGAGTAATAATAATCAACTAATTCGGTCAGCCTGGAGAAAAGTAGTCAAGTGGTAACCAACAATCAATGTCAGGTCCTAAAGGTAAGTTTATTTCTATTTTTATATTACTCTAAAACAAAATGCAATGCAACATGGATTGGTCTATCCTATCTGCAGTTTTTTGTCAATTGTCACCAAGCCCGTAGATTTATGCTGGATGGCAGTTTATCTAATCAGTTTCACAGTGAAGAGTTGTCAGAATGCCCCCTCCCCCTGTATCCATCTTCAGTAGTCACTTGTGTCGACGTTCTGAGCATCTGGTTGAGCAGCGTGTCTAAAGGTGTGCAATCCGGCCCACCCCTGTGCCCCAAGTCTATACTAAGCCTACTAGGCCTGCACTTTGTTTACCCTCGCATGCAACGAGCCTTACTTCCGATTGATTTGGTTGATCAAGAGGCAGTTTAAGGACAGCCCCCAAGGTCCTCAGGAATTATTTAACGTCGCAGACAAGACGACGATCACAGTCAGGGTTGAATCCGGAATCTGCTAGAAATATTTATAGACGGTCTGGTGAGCGTCTCTTATAGGGTTGGCATGCCCATCATGACCTCTATTGCGTAGCAAGCAGAACCAAGGACTTGCGGCAAAGCATATGTGTACTAGTCCCAACGGGTTGGCATGGTGACCGTTGTAGGGCCAAGCCCCGGTAGACTTTCAAGCCTTGATGGACCCCACTGCGGGTCCCAGTTGGCTCGGCCCGCCCACGCTCATGCTCAGAGCATGGGCCGTCGAGCGAGAGAGCTTTGACATTGGGGATGTAGCTCAGCCCTCACGCCGGGTGGCAGTCTCGCTGGTCATTCCGCAAACGCTGATTTTTTTTTTTCTTGGTTGCGTTCTCAAGCAAATGCTCATTCCAATACGGAAACAGTTCAGGGGTTCTTTGAGAGTTCCTCTTCTTTTGTGCGTAGGTTAAGTGTCATCCTTAGGCCACGCACCATTTCCCTAAGCACAGCAATCCTACGACGTCATCGGGGTGCGACAATGCTGTCTTCCCCCTCGCCTCTACGCACTCCTTCGTGTCTCATACATTCCATCCATCGTTATTGGAGCAGGCCCCTTAGTCCTTTCGGGGCCTTCACACGCATGCATAAGCTACTTCCCATTTCGATCAGCAAAAGTCTCACTCTTTTCTTTCATTCACACTCCAAGTCTCATGCACAAAGGTCTCTCTCATGGGTCGGTTTTACACTAAGGGTCCCGTAGCCCCTTTGCCCCGTCTTCCCTTTTCCTCTGCCGCCCGGTTTCTCCCGGCCTGGTCCCGCTCAAGGCATCCCAAGGCTTTACTCACCTGCACAATCCCACACAAAGGCAAAAACCGATACACTTCCCAATTGGGGTCAACAAATAGCCCTTCCCACATATCTAACTGTTATTTTTCCTTAGCTTCTCTTTATTCCCCTTACTTAGCTCAATCAGTCCATCCTCTTCTCATAGTCATGCAGTCGGGGAAATGGTTGAGTCAACTGACTTTGCTTCAAACACCAACTTCCTCTAACCCTTTTCCGGACCCGGCTCCTCTCAATCCCTCAAGTATCTCTTTCCTTTTCCTTCTTGGCGGCACAAGGGACTGACAACCCTTCCCTTGCCCACTTTCTCCGCCAAGTGAGGACAATTTTTTTTCACTGTTCGTTCCCTGACAATGTAACAAGTGAGTGGTGAAGGGTTAGTTATATGCCCAGTGGTGGAAGGGAAGAAGGTTGAGGGGGCCGAAGCTACGTGGCACCCTTGGCCGCGGCCGCAGGATCCAAGTCCGCGGCCCGGATCCTAGGCCGCGGGTCTGCGGCCTAGGCCGCGCGGCCGAGTTTGCGCGCAGGTGGGCGCGCGGCCGAGTTTGCACGCAGGTGGGCGCGCGCCCTCGAGATCCGAGCGTGCGCGCGGCCTGCGCACGTCGGCCGTTGTCAGCCTGTGCAAAAAAAAATAAAAAAAATAAAAATTTGGGGGGGGGCGATTTTTGATATGTTAAAAATATATATATATATATATATATATATATATATATAT